CAAAATTCTCTCGACCGTTCTGGCACCTTCCAAATTTGGCTCGCGAAGTGCCCGTAGCAGACAGCTCCACTTGAATCATCACTAACGGTGTCGTCATTATCGTCATGGCTGTCCATCACGATTCCATTCCCCGCTTCATAATAAATACGTGCCGGCTGTGCACACCGGTTGTGTGGGACGAGGGAGGAGCACCCGGCAGCGTGAGGATGCTTGAACCACCACACATAATGGGGACTGTTAACGCAACTTCATCTATTTGTGGACAATGTAACATTTGGTAAATGTGCTCGACTGTGGCATTGGCAAACACTACAGTTGGAGTATGACGTGAACAGCCACTTGGAAAATGCCGTGTAATATTATGAGCAGCAAGATATCTCACTGCTGGGCTCTCCAGATGTCTGCACATTTCAATTAAGCGTCTGTACTCATTTATAAAGCAACGGCGATCATTACCGGCTGGTGTAAACAGCTGGACTTGGTGATAGGTGCCTGATGGGTGGTTGGAGAATTAGCATGCTGCAGTGCCCACCGTGGATATTTACCCATCATTCGCATGCTTTTTGAAGAGCGCCTCCCGAAAGTAGAGTCTTTGAGCATGCGCTGGATAACACGGTTTTATTGTAATCGGTAGGCTTGATGAGCGGGGGACGAACGGCCATGCCACTTGCTTGTGAAAGCAGGGGGGGGTGCATGTCGCACCTCTTAATGCATAAATTAAGGAGCCCATCGCCCAGGAAGATTCTGAACTGGTGGGCAACGGCGCACGCGGTGCACCGCTAACCGCACCGCAGCACATAGCGACGTTTGTTTGTCTCGCTGAAACCCGACGTGAGTAATGACTCAACATTGTAATGGATTATATAATATTGCAGTTTGAAAGCACGGCCCCAGATGCACTAATACACTGTGCCTGGAGTGGAAGTGAATGCGTCGGTGTGCTTCACAGCTTTGTAAATCAGCCTGGGTCACTGATGAAGTCCATATAACCACTCGATGCTCTCTTCACCATTACTACAGCCTCTGCTACATTATTAAGGGGATATATTTCCCATAGCTTCTGTACGGTTCGGTCCTCTATCCAACTGAGCCTTTGAATGGTCTTCAGTATTACGAGTTTATAACGCCAGTGTTTCATTGCCAATGTCTTTGGTTGTCCTTCTGCCTGTGACCAAGTCACCTGGAACACACACAATCTCGTCGGTTGTCGGAAACTCAGCAAGATTGGCCTGGACCATCCTGAAATGGGTGGCTATCATGCACAACAGGTTGTTTATTGGCTGCGGGGCCTACCTGGTGGACAGTGCAGCAAAATCCATTGTTGAACTGTACATCTATGCTCCCTGCCCTCACCAACTGCGGTGAACAGCGTAGTGGAGTGTGATCAAACAGCCCCTAGGGCTTGCATGGCATGGGTAGAGCTGCGTGAGTGGGTGTACATGCTTCGTGGTACGACAGAGCAGGTAGCGTTCTCTGCACGCAGTGCCGTCTGTGACACGTAATGTTTACACGAGTCGGTGTTTGTGGATATTTTTACGGACTGGTGATTCATCGGCTGCCTGCCGACGGTGCCCGTGACGTCTTTCCGGTAGCTCGGAAGACGATGCGGCATGGTGGCACATGGCTGCAATCCAAGCACTCTTGGAGGCAGGGTTGGTGGGTTGCACTGAGAAAATCAATGTGCAGTGAGACTCCCAAAACTCGTGCATGGATGGCCAGGTGATGGCAGTACAAAGATGTCTTTGCAGACATTTGGGTGTTATCTCTTCACATGCATGGGTTTTCGCCATTCACTATTTCCTCCTGCATGCAAAAAATGTACTGCATTATGCAAGATCCTGCTGAATAAGAATCAAATCTCCATTAGACGTTTTTGTATAAATTTTGTATAAATACGAGATATTATTAATTGTATAGATTTGTGGATTGGAGCGACGGAACAGTGGTTTTAGCGCACTGCAAGGAAGGTGAATTTGCGGCGAACCGAGTTTAATTCCCGCCCACGGCTAACACGAGGAGGCCCCTCCAACTTCATCAACCGTCACTGACCGGTATGGTGAAGTATGATCGTACAACCCCCCTTTAACTAACGCAGTGTGGCAAGACCTTCATCCAGCCAGCAGTGGCTTGACAAATGACTACAAATTCTAAATTGAATATGCATTTTTTTAAACAGAGGATCATTCTTGTGCGCTAAATGCGTAGTTGTGCGTAACGGTCTTGGTCTTTTTTTTTATCCGTCCATTTTTCTCCTCCGGCTTCTTTCGCGGCAGACTTCGTCTCCGCTGACACGCCGAGGTGCTCGTCGCCAGGGCAACGGCACGTGCCGCTTCCCCTCCCGAGCGCCGGTATCGGATGCGATGCCATGCCGGCTCCTTATTAGTTATTACCTGCCTCGGTCCGTCTCTGTCGTGGAGACTGCGGCCGAAGAATGACGGCGGAGGCGGCTGCTATACAGTAACAACAGCCACCACCTCCCGTCGAAAAACAACATCGTTGTGCGGACTCTTGAGAATATTCAAGTGCTTTACGCTTGTCGAGTACCAACAACAGCGTGGTAATCGGCTCGTTGGAGCTGGTGATTTAGGAGAAGAAGAACCACCTCCTCGGTGCGTTTTTTGTAAACGTCAGCTGACGCGGCGTTAATCCGGCAGGGATATAACAAGTCGCCTCCACGATTCCATTAATTGGCGCGAATCGGACGGTGGGGTGATGGGGGTGTTAGGATTCAATTCGCAATTCCATTGTTTTGTTGTCATTGCAGAACACGTCGAAGCTATAGTGGCATGAGCATATATATATATAAAATATATACACATTTAAAATAATTGATCAGCGTTACTTAATTGGTGAATAAATTATTGGATGAGTGAATGGGTGAGCGCATTAATTGGTGAGTGGGTGAGTGTGTTGTTCTGTGCTGCAGTGCGGATGAGACCGAGTCCTTGACATGGGTATCGGAATCTACACGTCGCTACAAATCTCCAAGCAGATCAATGATTGAAAGTGGGATCTGTCTGCGATCTGAGCAACTGGTTATAGGTTGGAGGAGATGGTGGTGTCGTTGATAGAATGGGGTCTCGATAATAATTAGACATTCAAACAATGCGCTATCATATTTTATGATGTGCTTTTTTACTCCTTTTAAATATTTAATTTTTTAAGTATACCCACTTCATGCATCATTATTCATGCGACGCAATGATTGTTTTAGGTGATAATTTCGTGAAAGGCAATATCCTAAATAAAGATTGATGGTTAAAAGTATTAATGATAGATTAGGACCATTTTACAATCCACTGCTGAATGATGAAGGCCTTGCCACCTCATGGCATTACTCCACCACACTGAGCAATGTGGGTTTTTTAAATTGTTTGGGATACCCAGATTTGGATCATATTTCACTCGCCACTGATACTAACCGTGGCTGGAAATCAAACTCGGGTCACTGGGCTCATAGCGCAGTGGGCTAAACCACTCCATCAGCCGCTCCACCCCCAGCGTCTTGTCATAGTGGCTGGAACAACCTTCAGTGTTTCACATGCAAGATTATCCATCGCGCCTGGGTGTCACAAGGGCCGTAAGCCCTAGCTCCCCGGTGACTTATCCCACCTGCCCGACTCGCTTTGATGAGCCCAAGGCTCAACTCAAGTTCACGCGAATTTAAATCTTCCCATTTAAACCGAACCACCCAGAGCAGCAGCTGCTGATGAGAGCTGAGAGCGTGGCTGCATGTGGTTGAGCCGTTCAATGAGAGCTTTCCACGTAAAGAGGTACATTCTTTAAAGTTCATATTTCTGCTCGAGTTGGTGCGACTTCTTCAGCATTTCGAACACCAGCTGACAATTGGCCTGTTTTGTGACCAGTCTAAAATGTGCTTCGTATCCTGGAGCTCATCACGCACGATGGTGCTGGCTGGAGCAGTGTTGTCTTTGCCCGTGTTCTCTGGGCCTGGGATAGGTATATTGAGATGCGCGCGTGTTGTGTTTGACGGTGTGCTGTTTGTAATAAGCGCCTTGCCTTGATGATGATGATGAAAGGTCCGGTGTTTGCTTTGCCTCCAAATTGCCTTTTGTGTGTGTACGTACGTTGAACCACTTTCGCACCGTACGTATCCAACCGCGCTAATCGGAGGTGCAATTAGTGTTGCTGCGCGCGTGTTGTTGAGCGCGTTGCTTTTGTCATCGCAGCACCGTGACATCGACTAGGTTATCTCTGCCACGGGTAGATCTGCTGGCATTTATATTGTCCTGTTCTGTTTACGTGACAAACCTTACTAATTGGCTGTGGCGGGTGGTGGCGGGTTTAATGACACATTTATATTTATGCGATCTAACCCAAAAAACCCCCCCTCTATGTTGACATACAGCACGCAATGTATTTTATGTTAATACAAATAAGATGTAATCTTGACAACGGTCTGTTTTGCCACCAATAAGAAGTGACGTAATGTAACCTTCACGCGGTTTCGGACCGGTGTTATCTTGACATGTAAACTCTGGACTGTTCTCAACTTATCAGCTCATAGCCTGTTAAAACATCTTCTGCTGAGTTGCCTGACGTTACAGGCAAGGGTAAAGCAGTTTGGAACCCATTCAGCTGTGTAATTAGGTACAGTGGTTTATTGTTGTTGTTTTGTACAATCAGTGCGTGGAATGTAAATATCTGTTGTTGTATTTAGTGGCATGTTATACAAAAGTGCATTTTTCCCTCCTCTTAATTTACACAGTTTTAATTGGCAAACTAAATGAAAATGTTCCACTTGAGATACTTCCCGCAAATGTGCCACATTTTTTGTTATTCCAAGTGGAGACCCTTGTTCTCTCGACGGACTCTCACCTGGACATAAACGAGGGCCATCGGTCGATCCACTCACTCACTGCTTGCGAACTCTGCTCACCCTTAGGCGTCTGCTGCTCGTTCGACCGCGTCTGACCGGTGGTGTTTTTTTCTCGCCTCGTGTGTGTGTGTGTGCGCGTGTGTGCTTGCCGCGGCTCTAGAACGACATCTTCGAGTGGTCACGTGACCACCGCGTGCACCACAAGTTCTCGGAGACCCACGCCGACCCGCACAACGCCAAGCGCGGCTTCTTCTTTTCCCACGTGGGCTGGCTCCTCCTGCGCAAGCACCCCGAAGTCATCACCAAGGGCAAACGCCTCGACCTCTCGGACCTGGAGAAAGACCCCATTGTGCAGTTCCAGCGCAAGTACGTCAACCGAGGCGCGACAAGGGGAAGGGGTTTATTCTCCGCTTTCGAACTCCGCTTGAAAGCGTTAATAAGTTATCTCTGTCTGACTGGAGTGCAGCAGGGGCGATGGGTCATGGTAACACTCGTAAAGATTATCCCAACGGTGATAAAAAAAAATTGTTTCAAGTTGTGTTGCTATTTGGGACCTACCCTACAGATTAACGAGCCACATTAACCAGAGCAAGGACGCCCAGATCTTGGCAGGTGAAACAAAACATAAAATGGCGTTAAATGGATAAGGCCGTTGGGCCAAGGCACCCTTGGTCACATGCGGTGGCTCTCACTTTACACGCGACGTCACCGCGTCACGTCGCACGTTAGTGCACCGCATAACGTCGTCGCCCCTTTGTGCGGCTGAGAAGGTGACATCCTTGCCGTCGATGAAACACTTTCGAGGGCAAAAGCGTGTTGGAATGCGTTACGGAATCCGCGTGCGTGATAATTTTTCCTTTTTTGCCAAATGTTAAGCCGTGATCACCGCTCGTAGTTAGTGGAGGTTTTTACGCTTGTGAGTAATTCCACGGGCCAGATGGGGCAAAAACGTGTCACGTCGCGTCGCTCGCAAGCACGCACGCGGCACGTTGGAAGAGAAACGCAATCCACGTGTCGGGCTAAAAGGGGATCGCGTTGGTATGAGCAGATCCACAAAAGAGCAGGCACTGCAGTGGAGGTTGTAGAAGGGGTGTGGGCGATGGGGCGAGCGAGGTCGCTGGACATGATAGAAAGAGCCCCCTTCACTGGAGCCATTTTGCCCGGGCACCGCGTGTAGTTTGCTGCCCGCGTGTCACCGTGTCCCTGATTTCCAAGTGCGGTCTGCTCATCCTAGGGGGTGTGTTGAGCATTTATTCTCTCCAGCCTTGACCACTACGTACGAGATGCCCTCGGTCGTGTATGGTGGTGGTGGTGGTGGTGGGGTCGCCCGAGGTCGTGCATGGTGTCGAAAGCTTGGGAGGTGGAATGCTCAACCGCATTTGGATCACGAGCAGTGGCCGAAAGCTCGCATGCTGTGCCCACAACGTCTTAGATTTTACACAAAATCCCACTCCTCATCTCTCTCCTGCCCCCTTCCACCTCTCTGTCTCTTCCCCCCCCACCCCCCAAGGTACTACAAGCCCTCCGTTGTGATCATGTGCTTCATCGTGCCCACGTTGGTGCCCTGGTACTTCTGGGGAGAGACCATTCACACCGCCTTCTACCTGGCGGGGCTGCTGCGGTACACGCTGGCGCTCAACGCCACGTGGCTGGTCAACTCGGCGGCGCACATGTACGGCATGCGGCCCTACGACAAGACCATCAACCCGCGGGAGAATCGCTTCGTCACCATCAGCGCCATCGGTGAGGCCGCGCCACATTGAGGCGCGCCGCAAAAGTGGTTTGAGCAGTAATCGATTGTCATTCGTATTTATTCACCCCCTGGCAAAAGAGACATCATGAATGAGTGGTCACGATTTGACGCTGCGATTTGATTCGAGGGTCGATTGCTTCAGCACCAGCTGGTACTGTCTGTCTCATTCTGTCTCATTGCCTTAATAGCTTAAAGGTAACAGGAGAGTTTGAGCGAGCGCATCCTAAACGCTTGACGTCAGCGCTGCTGTCCTTCCCCCGCACCTCCGATTAGCACGGTTGACTACGTACTTTGCGAAAAAAGTGCAGCATACACACGTTCATACGCCGGCAAAGATTGCGCGACACCTTGGGGCTCTCATCGATGGCGAGCTCTCGCTATCTTCCCACGTACCTCCCCTCTCTGCAGGACCTTTCGCCTCCTCCCACCTTTTCTTTCTCCCCAGCTGCCGCCGAGACACTCGCCCGTGTCACCGTCGCGTTACGACTCCACCACCGCAAACTCTCCCCTCCTCTGTGGCCTCCCTAAAATTGGTCATCTCCACAAACTCCAGATGTGTTTTCCAAACCGCCACGGGCCAGACTCCTCGCCTCGCACCCACAAATGGGACCATGTCACACTGGATCCTTTCAACGAGACCTGTTTGTTGTGGGCAACTTTGGAATAATTTTTGGCCGGTTTTCTTAGAGGCTAAGTCGCTAACAGCAGCACGACGCTGCAGTAAAGTTTTGTTACAGGAGAGCTGTCGCTGCCCCCCTGTTACAGACAGATGTATAGGCAAACAGAGGTAATGAATAAACACTTTCAACCCGAGTTTAAAATCAATGCCTATTAGTAAAATGTATTTTTCTAATTAACAAAATGAAAGAGTGAAGGGGGGATACGTCTCTTATAAGTACAAATGTTTAATTTACAGAGTGATGTCACCGTGGCATCTGTGTCAGGCTGGGTGCAATTTGAGGCTTCTTTGTATGCGCTCACACGCGTGTGTGTATCTGCACGAGGGGAGTGACAGTGCAGTGGTTAGCACGCTGCGCTACGAACCCAACGACCCAACTTTTATTGTCACTCATGACCAGATAACAGTGGCGAATATTTGAACCGGTCCTAGGCCATGGCTAGGTCGAATCGGCATCAAATGAGTACCTGATTGTGTATGTACAAACTTCAGACCTGGGGAGACAAAGGCGGTCGGGTACGGTGTTGGCCTCCCACCGACATTTACATTTTAGTGCTGCCTATTATCTCATTCCACCTGAAATTATCACGTGGTGTCAAAGTGCAGTTAGCCTCACGCGTATATACTTTTGACATTGCTGCTGCCACGTCACGGAGAATGGCAGCGG